TTTGTGTAAAAACATTATTAATGTTTCTCCTTTGAGCTTTGAATCTCCTTTGATTAAAGTACATTTTGCTATTTTCCTCTTATTTTGATTTCATTAGAATGACTTTCGAACCCTAACACATATCCTTCTCATGTTTTGATTTCATGATCTATGGTGAATCTGGGGAGGAATGACGGTGAACTTTAAGTTTGTTTCTTCTTCTTAGATCTCCTTAAGTATTTTTATGGAATTCTCGGTTATTAGTTTGTGATTTTTGGTGTATTGATTGCAAATTTGGTTCAATGACTTTTAATTTATCTGATTTGTTTTCTTTGCTGATGAATTCTGATGTGATAACTTGATTCTTATAAATTTTGGTATGTTGATTTATACTGACATACACATCAATCCTTGTTTCTTACCTCATTTTGATTGGGATATTCTATCCAAGAAGAACTTTACTCATTTTCCATTGTTACCAATGAACTTTCACTTCTTGCTAATAGGTTGCAGGCATGGTAGTGGTTGAGGAATCTAACTGAAATTTCACTTCATAACGCAGAACCTCTTTTAGGCTAAAGTAACTTTAATGGTCACAGCTGAAACTTGATCTTCATTATTTGGATATCACAAGACATCTCAGGATCAGGACAAATCTTCTCTATCAATTTAGTATATAAGGTAATTTTTATTACCCATTTTACTTTACCTTATCGTTTTATTATTTTTTTTCATCATTTTAGTTCTTGAAAAAAAAGGTTTTCCTTTACCTTCTTTGTACGGTAAGTCTTAATCAAAATATTTGCTTTAGTTACTATTTTTTTTTTCACATTTTTTCTTGTATGCAACCATTTATAGTCTTATAATTGCTTTTACACTAGAAACTTATCTTGGAGTTGCTTCAGAATGAATTTGATTATCTGATTAAAAATAAATAAATAAATAAATAATTTAGTGTTAAAAAGAGAAACACAAATGTCTAATTCTCAGGGTCACTATCCCCATCATACTGTCTGCCATTTCTCAGTAGAGAACAGTAAATGATCAATAATTTCTTCATATTTTCCACAAAATCAGTCATAGCACAAAGACCATACTTTTCCGGATTCCTCACAGGAGAACAGTAAATTATCAATAATTTCTTCATATTTTCCACAAAATCAATCATAGCACAAAGACCATACTTTCGGCCATTTCTCACTAGAGAACAGTAAATGATCAATAATTTCTTCATATTTTTTCCACAAAGAATGCAAAGGGAATCTTGGCCCTGTTGGTTTTTTAAAACAAAGAAATGGAGAAAACCGAGAGGAAGATGAAAAACAGAACATAAGCTGAAATGGAGAGAAGTATATGACTTCAACTCAACTTTTTTCATTAACGATCTCTCTTATTTATAGGAGAATATAATCTTTAAATAATTCAAAATTTAAACAATATTTTACATTAAAAAACAATAAAAATATATTTAAAATTTGAAATGAGTAACAGCTAATTTTGCTGCAACCTTGCGTACTTTGGCAGCTCTGCAGCCACTTTGCAGCCTTTCATTTCAGCTGCATTTGTATTTCCATTTCATCGACATTTGCAGCATAGCTTGCTGCACTTTGCTGCTACCGTGCTTTGGTGCAGCTCTCCCTTCTTTATTTGCTGCCATTTTGTGCAGCGTTTCATTTTAACTTGCTGCTACTGGGCAGCTTGAACACCACAACTCCAACTGGCCCTCCTGCAGTGGGCCTCTCCTTGTTTAAGTTTGCTTTTGCCTAAT